TGTTAAAATAATTTCGTAACATCAAATAACGCCGATTAAATATAAAAAACAATTAAGCCAAGTATGGAAAGAATATATCCCTGAGTGATTCTGAGAGAAGTAGTACTGTTCGAATAACGTAAATGGTCCAAGCGTTTCTTCTCTTAGCCTTTAGCCTCGATGAATAACTTTCGGACTTCTCGCATCTATTCATTAACGCTCGGCTTATAATCGCTGCAAATACGACTTTTTTATGTTTAACCGTGAACGAGTTATAAGCAAAAGCTCCATATCTGACCGTTATTTTGGTATTATCATCGTTCTGTTGATCCAAATGTGTTTAGTTTTGCAAATGTTATTTTCTACGTTATTTTATGTGGAATATATATATATTTTTTCTATTTCTTATAGAAATTTCTTCGCTCTACTCATTCACTTCATTATCCTTGTTCCAGATTTTTCTGTTTTTTCACAAACTTGTTCACAATTCGTCGTCCCGAAAAAGTATTTTTTCTGTCTCGTAACCACATGGTCTCCGATAGATTCGGTAAGTTATTCAGTTTCTATTCTTTATGTGCCAAACGTTGACTTAGTATATAGAATACAACACATAACAGCGAAATTCAATGTTTCTATCGCTTTCCTCTACCACGTAATTCCCACTTTACTGAAGTTGACTGAGAATTTGTCCTGTAACCACCTACTAAGCCACGGCTCAATCGGACTTGATAGAAAGTTTTAATCTTTACCAGAAATCTTGTCGACTCACATGATGATCATATATAAATAGCAAACACCGAGATAACTTTATAAGCGAGAAAACTAGAATATACTAAGAAACGTCCCATCACCGGTTTTTTTCCATTCTTCTATAACTTTAACATAACACGGGCGAAGAAAGCTAAATTTTAGTGCAAATTATGTCAGAATAGCAAAATGTGCTTCGCCTCCTCCAAACGACCTTCACTTGAGAATAGTAAAGAACATTCTTGTACTCCGAAGGGATTCTAGAAAACTTTTTCAAAAACCAAAGTACTCTCTGTTTATTTTTAAAAGATTTTATTGATCTGCATCATTGAAGCAGGTAAAATAGAGCACATCTTGATTTTATTCAAAAACAGGCCCAAATGGGATATTTCACATGGTTTTTGAAACAGTTTGAAAAACAAATGCTGTCGCGAGATTCACCATAGTCGATAACCTATGTTTTTATGTGTTTCTGACAGTCTAAACCTAACGATAGAGAAGTCCTAAGGCTTCGGAGAAAAGGACCGTAGAGCCCGAATCAATTAAAACCGAACTTTTGCATAGATCTTATTTTGTAGAATACATTTCGGACTGTCTATCTACGAAAAAAACTGATCGATCACTATGTCGATTTCTATAAATTCGAACTGGTTTTGCAAAGATCTTGTAATGTTTTCGAAAGACTATTTTGCTTGAGAAACTATAGCTTAAACTGTCATTTTTCGATAGCTGAAGACCGCATGTCTGTATCTCTTATTGTTTTCTTTTCGGTTATTCAAGGGACAACCGAGTGTCTGGCATTTTGGGATGGATGATGGAGTAAAATTTTGTCAAACTTAACAATTATCCATGAGTTTTCTAGAAACCTTTAGGTTTCCGAAGATCCTAGTTAGAGAGCTCAAATATTTTTTCGATTTAGCCATTGGAAAGAGCATAATTCAAAGCCTGTAACTTACTATGTTAAGCACGTCCTTTCTTCCGTCAAAAATTACGTTCCACGGCAGCATATGCTAGAAAAGTGTTTTCTGATTCTGAGAAACAAAGTAGTGGTAGCTTGCTAATCCTTGTCTTGTGAAACTCCTAGGTGCAGACTATTGACATATGATAAGAAAAAACTGAACTCTTCATCTTTTGTTTGGGTCTAATTTTTTCACAAAAACGGTACTACTTTTATCAGAATTACTCCCACATACGTTGTTTTTGTTATATGACTACCAGAGATCGTTATGGACGCAAATTCCGTAGAGAGCCCTCTCCCAACTTTTTCCGTTATTGACGCCGACGGCCGTGACGCAGGCGTCCATAAAGGTGCCCGCATCTATAATGGTCTCTGGTGACTACGATACTTCTCCATTCTTTTTTTAGGCAAATTGAAAATCACTATACGCAGTTTTCTTTCCAGTCCAGTGAGTAAATTGTACGTATGGGTGAATGCTTCACTTAAACTGTACTTTTTTGGGATCAGCCTACCAGTAGATCTGAAAGTCAATTTTGTCCATTATCTTTCATTTCTCAGTCTCTGAAAAGAATAAATTGTCATAGTACTGCTGCAGTGATTTTTTCTGCTTCTCTCATCAATAAAAAGATTTGCGACGCTCTTAGTAATAGTAACTGTAAGAGCTGCGACACCATCATTTTTAACCTTTTTAAAGCGACTATCCAGGGAAAAAAAATGAGCGTGATTCCGCAAGTTTCTGTGGCGAAAATGAAATATTTTCGCGCACAAGATATTTTGGAGACCCGATCCCATAATCATGGAATCTGACTGAGATCGTCCCGCAGACCAGTATAAATGATGACCAGAATCTAAAAATCTCACAAATAGACCTGTGTTTTTGATCTAAGTGAATACTTCAGGTACATGATCTTGCTAGTTAACATATTTTTGATTTAGCAAATAGTATAGAATACGCAATTGCATTCTATGGGATATGTTTCTGCTGAAAAAATATCCCGCAGAACCCTGAATGCGAATCACGGAACTTGTAGAATCACGCGCATTTTTTTCATTGGGTAATGTATATGTAGGTTTATTCTAAGCTCTTTACTGCTATCAAAGCACTAATTGCTATTTTACACACATTCTGTAGAGAATTTTAGGGTCTATCAAATAATATATTTACTTTGTCGTTTACATGAAAGAACTACGAGAAAAACACATTTTACGTAAACGTAAATTCTCCTATATTAGTAAAACTGAAACGCTGAAACACTAAACTTTCTTTTTCGTGGAATCCAGGGACTGCTGCCAAGAAACATAGCAGATTTGATAGGAAGAAACTTTTCCTTACCTTTTTTGCTTTGATTTTCTGTTATTGTTTTCTGTTGTTTTGAAGGGAAACTTTCGAATCCTACCGATTCAGCATTTGCAGGCTTCTGCTTTTGAATACTAGCTCCGTCGAATGGTAGTTCTAGGAGAAGAAAAGGTGACTATTATTCCTTTAACTGGATGATATGAAGACTATTATCGAGTGAGACTTCACCTGCAACTTGAGACAGTCTGCTGGAAGTAGCAAACAAATTCCATTTTCAGTTTCAAAACAGGAATGTACTTGATTCAATTTTCTATAAAATTGATTTTTTACTACGTGGGCAATCGAAATCGATTTTCCAAAAAAACACTAGAAAATCAAGCTTGATTTTACAGAATATGAAAGGAAGAGTAACAGTAAAAGTTAAGATAATCTATGAAACGATAACGCTGAAGGAGAGCACTGCTATTAGTGGAACTGATGGAGGTTCTTCGGTTTGTCTTCTTAAAAGATTCTATGTGTTTTATAAGAAAATGTTCATTTGATTCTTTTATGACCGTTGCGAACCTTTTCCCTTCTTATTTCTGACTAAACGGTTGCTACCGTTTTTCCTTCTTTTGTTTCATAACTCCCATCAAAAATAGAAGACCACACTATATTAGAAGATCAACCCCATAAGAAAGGCCACACTATGATCAAGATTTCATGAGACATAATAGAAGGCCGCTGACAGCCTACCCCAAACTAGAAGACCACCCGCATTGGAAGGCCAGTCAAAAAGCGGCGATTCGTCAGGACATTTTATAAAGCTATAATCTTTTATTCTTGAGGAAGGGGTATAATAAATGGCTGTGGAAATAAACTTATTATTATACGAGCTCATATAACAGGCACAATGAGTATTTCGTGGCTTTTTTTGAGATTTACAGGCATATCGTTTTGTTTTGTTTTTCCCGTTAAAATGTTTATTAGCCTAGACACTTCTTCGATTATTATTGTTTTGTTTATTATGCCCTGTTTATGACTCACCATTGATTTGTATACAATATGAACTTCCAACTCAAAAGTAAACAAATATACTTCAGTGCAGAAGTAGAAAATCTATGAAGGTGAAAATGTGTGGGAAATGCTAGCCGGTTGAAATACACTGATCGTTGGAAATAAATTCTGATTTATAGGAAATCGACTCATAAAATACTTGAGTATCTTAAAAAAATTAGAAAGCGGGAGACGCTTCTGTAATTTCTTAAAAAATGAACATTTTCTAAGAAAAAGAAATTCGATTCGATTTTCTATAAAATCCATTTTCTACTAAGCGGAAACCGAATTTGATTTTGTGTACAATCAAATGACTTTCCAGGGATTGAAATTTGATTTCACAGCAAATGAAAACAGAAGAGTAATAGCAGCGAGAGAGAGGGCTAGTATCAGCGCAACTTGTGCAGAGAATCTTCGTTTTATGACCTTGGCTTATCGTTGTTCTATGTTAAATAATAATAATTTTTAAGTTAAAAATAAACAGACAAATTTAATTAAAAAAGCAGAAAAAAACTCGGAGTAAAATCGAGGGTGATTTTCTAGAAGTACCTATACAAATTCGACAGTGGCCAGCTTGAAACCGATAGAAATCAAATCGGATTCGCTAGAAAATGAACGGAAAATCGATTTCGCAGAATAGGAACGGAAAATAGGAAATCGCTGACAAATACATATGAGTGCTCCTGGAATTCGTCTTTGTTTTTCTATAACTATTTTCTACTTATTAGCGTATATTTTTGCCACTACCGAGCTTATGAACTTTCAGAATGAAATATTATGTCGAAATCCGTAACGGTGGTATCTACAGAGAAATGAACCTGTTGGTAGAAACATCTTCATTGTGTAATCCACAGAAAGTTTTAAGGTTAATAGATCTTCCATAATAATAATCCGCGTCAAAGTATTTTAAAATATATGCGGAAAAAGCGGTAAGATCTGACTCAGCTTCACACAAATAGGCTATGTACGTCGCCGCAGACTCTGTTAAATCTGTTTATTGACAAAGTTGAACCACCACTTACCATCTTTCACCTTTGCTTGGTCGTGGATATCTTCGCGTACTCTGATCTTTTGAATCCAAGGCGATTGTTTATCCTCTTCGATGCGGAAATTCGATGGTTTGATAAGTTCATCTGTTAGTTCTTTTAAGTCAGCCATCCACTTACTGAGATCTCGTTCAACATAATCTTCGTCGTCTCGACCTTTGTGAACTCTATTCGATATTTTGCGAAATCTGTCAATAAGCTCATCCTTGTTTTTATCTAGCAATATGATAACGTCAGTCCGACATTGCTCAGCGAGCTGATTAATTTTATCGACAGAGTCTTTCTTCCATTCATCAATCTGTTTTAACAAACGATGTGAGTCATTTTTGTTTGGTGTTTCGAGCTTTTGTTTAAGAATATCGTGCGCATAAACAACATTGTCGAATTCTTTTAACAAATCTTGACGATGATCATTGAAACACCGTCTGCACAATTTTGCTAAACAGCCATTGCATGTAGCTATACCAGCACTTTTCGCACATTTTGTACATTGAACGTTTAGTGCAGTTGCCATTTAAAGTTGCAATAAAGTAGTTGTTCTTCTACTGGAAAAAAATCCACCCTGTTTCAGTCTCGTATTAATGTTAACAATAAAAGATCTCTTCTTAATGAGAGATAACAGTATGAGAGCCTCAGCTTTGTAGTCTATCTAGTGTATACCAAAAATTTCTGTGTCACCCACTCGTCGTTTAGACTGAAAATCCTGCTCTCTGTACGGTTTTATATTCAACACTGATTTAAACAGGTAACTAAACAAAAAACTTCTTTTTCCTTCTGTCGCGATGACGGTTAGCTTTCTAAAATAAAAACAGCCACACTTTGTACACGCTTCATTCCAAATAAGTAAATAAATTTCTTTTTAATGGTATATAGCAACGGGAAGAAAAAACGAAAACACGATGGTCTGTCAGCGCTGGTGCGAGAGATCAAATTATTGAAAATTTCCTTTTTTTACGAGCGGAGCTTATACTTATTTTTGTGTTTCTTCGTTCTCACGAACATCTCTTTGGTGAACTCCCTCGGCCCCCTCCTAACTTCTAACGCATAGTTCAGTAAGACTGAAATAGGAGTGTCTCGAAAATGGATAGTCCAAACTATCCTCTACAAAAGGGAATCTAAGCGACACCTTCAAAATTCACATTTCGGGCCTAGTCAGGCGTTTCTCTGAAGCACCGATACTGCCCTTCTGTTAAAACTGGAATCAGTAAAGATGATTGCAAACATAGGTTTTCGACTATGGTGAATCTTGTGGCAATGTTAGTTTTCAGAACAAAATGCAACAACAGAGTGAAAACCTATACTACTACGCAGGTGGTTGTTTTTTGAGTAACTTTTGATAGAAGATGGATAGAGATCTGTGGTTTCACTGTTCGATAGCCAGGACCTGTACCCATCTTTCCACGAGTAAAAATATTTTTCATCTTTCCACAAAAAGAAGATTTTTGAAAAAGATTCAGCGATTGGATTTTGATCTTTCCAAGAAGTCTTCAGAAGATGATCTTTGGAAAACCAGTTTGGATCTCTTAGAACTGACATAGCAATAGGTCAATCTTTCTTCATAGATAGATAGCCCAAAGCGTCCTCTGCAAAATGGGAACAAGGCAAACCCTTCATTTTTTCCGGTTCAGGTGTGGTATCGGATTTACCGAGAGTCTCAGAATCGATATTTCTTTAGGTGTGGCTATTCCGCAAACATAGGTAATCGATCACGCTGAATCTCATGGCAATATTTGTTTTTCAAAACACTTGCAAAAACCTGGTAAAAGCCTGTATTAGGTGAAATAACCCATTTTGGTGCGAGCTCGAAATATTACATAATAAGGCGTGACCTTTATCACAGCGTAACAGCTATGATGGCGATCAAAGCTGTTAACAGCGTATTATTAACAACTTTTACACTCATAGTAGTATTAAAATCGATTTTGGGAACTCTGTAGAGACGCTTGTTTGAAATCTCCATGGATTTCAAAGGATTGACTCTTTTTACCCTAAAGACAAAAATTTTAAAATGACACGTTTTATTGTGGTCTAATTACTTTAATGAAGGTAACAGATATGGAGATCATAATCATATGGTTCGATAGAGGAACAGTAGAGCTTTATAATGATACAATTTTTAATTAATTAGCATTCATCGTCAATGAACTACGATGCTTTTAAAAAATCTCCATGTATTTGAATAGATTGCCCCTTTTTACCCCATCGACATAAGTAAGCTGACTCTTTTTACTCCATATGGGGTAGAATGAGTCAATCAAAACTACTCAACTCCTGTTTGAATATATCTGGAAAACCAACATGAATTTTCCGGAAATTTTTTGCACTCGTATGTATAATCATCGTTTCTACCAACGTGGTTAATATTGAATTTGTTCAGTTAAAAATCGATGAGAAATAGTGAAATTACGAAGAAAATTTCGTGCACTGAATCTTTTTAACCTACAGTATTCTAATCTTTTGAAACATAGCGGTTAATTGTAAAGAAAACAAAGTTCCTGTATACATCTAGATAAAAATTGTCTATATAAAAGGAAATGTGGCGTAACAGCAGAATACAGACATAGTCGTGGAATAGAGGAACACACGAATAGCGACCGATCTATTCCAGATTTTGAAATGCTCTTTACGTTGATCAATACGTTTTTAGAGAATTCTGAATAATCACTCATACAGGCAGTTTGCTCGTTGTCTATGGTTAAGTTTAGAATTTAACAACAGTCTTCATAAGAAAATATAATGATGTATACACATTGAATGAGAAAAAATAATACATTCCAGATTAATTTACAAAAGTTGTCAATTTTTGACGTATTCTTGAAATTTCGTTCTCCAGCTCATCTGCGCTAAAAAAAGTTTTTACAGACCACGAGAAAGAACACATTCAAAAGTAAGTTACTGAATTCTTACTCTTTTTTACCAAGGTAAGAGCAGAAGAAAAAATTTCAAATTGAAAAAAATACCAAATTTACTAAGTCTTCGTTTTTTTTCGTCTTTCGCATAATTTGAATAGTTTTCTTGATTAAAATTCTGCCATTAAAATCTAGGTAATGGCTTTGTAGAGTATTTCGCGGTGCATCTTGAAATTGAAAATAAACATCAACTAGGGTCCTGAACGAACACGAGAAAAATAGAAAATACCAAATGATCCCGTTCTTTATGCCACACTCGTTATACCCGTGGCGCACTTTTTTCGTAATACCGACGGTTACTGACCGGTCTATAGATTACCACTGGTTAACCGTACCGTTCGGTATAAGTACCGGTTAGCGACGGTTTTTTCTGCTAGCGGCTGTTACCGCACGCTATTTTTCAGACCGTGGTACAAGAAAAAACCGTTTTCACACATTCACCTTTTTGTTTTAGCAGTGTATATAAGAACGCAGAAAGTCAAAAAGTCTTTGAGTTTTTTTTAGATTAAACTTTCTCTTTCAGATTCCAGAGACTCGCCGAAGTTTGCACTTCGACTTGAGTCGAGTTTTTTTTCGGGTACCTCAGTGCGCTGCATGCGCACTAGAAAGCTGAGAACTAGATTTGAACTCCTGTACTGTTTGCTCACGCTAATAAAAGACCGGTTGTTACCGCCCGTACAACCGACCGGTGTACCGCGCGATTTGGTAGACCGTGCGGTAATTTCAGTTTCGCTGATGGTATACCGAGAAATGTAACAGACTGATATCGGAGCGGTAACCGGGCAGTATTTAACCGGTTTTGATGACATGGGTATAGTGATTCTCGCCTATGTTTTACATATTATTCATTTTTTCCTTTTTCTATTTACTTATGCGAGAAAAGTATATATGATTTCTTTTCTACATTCAGTTTTTGACGACTTCTGCAGTTTCAGCTGTGAAAAGTTTCAAAATTAAATTTTGTTTATTTTTATTTTGTATAACATCAAATAAATGTGAAATTTTGAAATTCTCACTACAACTGGCGTTCCTATACGTTGCCAGCTTGACAGAATAAAATTAAGCTAGTTGGATGATACTCAACCCTAAGTTTAACAAAAATTTAAAGCGCCATTTTATTTAGTGAGCTAGTATGAGAAAACAATACTGTCGTTACCATATATGAAAACAGACATTTTTTTGATCAGGATATTCTAGCATGATGATCCGGTATGAAATGCAAAGCCAGGCGTTTGTGTACAAGATGACGAATTGATCAATCAGACTTTAAGGGTACCCCCCTCTTTTTTCACCTTGTTGCCAAATGCGGAGTACATGTCCGATTAAGCTCAAATTTATAGCAGAGATAGAACATCGAAAAAGAAAATCGAAGTATTTTTGCCCAGAATTTTCTGACATGTTCTTCTATGGGTTTTCTAGAAAAGTCTAGTTTTCATGAAGTAACATTACGACCCCTCGGAAAAATGGTCCGATCGAGCTCAAATTTTTACCACAGATACTTTAGGCCCTATCTCAGGTTCGATGTTTTTCTTTTTGAAAAATATGGTTTCCTTCTCCCGATACTCGAAACATACTGAAAATCCTTTATAAAAAACCAATTTTTTATTTTAAAAACCTTCTCAAGCCTAAAGTGGAAATGGAAAACGCTCTCTTCTTCGGTAGATAGTTCGTTCGATCCATCTTTGCTATGCCACTTGGATTTGTCAGTGTCTAACCCTCCAATAACTGGTTTAAGTTAACCACGTCATTGATTTCCATCTAGCATGCCAAGGGATGTGTTTTTATTACTTCTTTCCCGTTTCAATATTATTTTTCTTGCACCAATCTCAAGCACAAAATCTCACATGTCCTGTTGTTTCTTCTGGTTTAAATTTGTTCATACAGTTTGGACAAGTGTAACAATTGTTGTCATCCTTTACTAAGACCTCAACAACTTTTCTTGGTGCTTTTCCTTGACCAATTTTCTTCTCCGCAAGCCGTCTCTGGTCAGCTCTCCCTTTATACTCTCGCGCTATTTGCTCAATGTTTGTGTTGGCCGTGGTGGTTTTCACTTTGGTGTTAATTGTCTCCCTCCAACGATCTCTGTCTTTCACTTCTCTTCTCCAGTTTCTCACATTTCGCCAGATCGTCGGTGATTTTGTCATCCCAGCTTTTCCTAGCGGGTCCAGGAGGAGCTTTTCTCGTTAGGAAAGTACGAAAACATAACTTTCTTCACTACAGCTGCTTCGTCTAGATCGTTTGCCATTCTATTTACATGTCCAAACCATCTGAGGAGGTTTCGTCTCATAATCTCTTCGATGGCTGGCTGTCCTGTAAGATGTAAGATCGTTTGATTTGGTACCCTGTCGCCTAAATTCAGTTCCACTGAAGTGCAGTGATTGTGGTCGATCTGGTGATTATACGTTCAAAGTTACAAAACGTCTTGGTTTTTCCTACTATGTGTCGTTCACATGTGAATGTGGTCATGTTCTTCGTTTCCTTACTGGTGCAAGAATAAGACCGGATAGGTCTACTCAAATGACGGATCTCAATATGACGAGTATCATCGGACGTTCATTAGTTGGTTTACACAGAAGAGGACTGACGAAACTGGTTGGAACTATAG